CTGTGGGTTTTTTTACTAACTAATGATTCCTTTTTACTTGATTGCACTCTTAATATGAATTTCAAATATAATACGTTCAATGTGGGATTGTGGAGATTGTTAAGTTTTTGATTGAGATCATGAATCAATATACGTTAGACCATCATTAAAAACCTAGAAGCACTGGAAGGCCGTTTCATCCTAGTATGGGACTACTCAGCAGTGCGCATACACGACCGCACACGCGAGATTTGAATCCAGGAACTTTGGTGGTCTAGGAGTTAAGCGTTAGCGTACAAACTAGGAATCCAACAAATGACGCAATTTAACCAAGAAGTATTAGATGAGTATGAATTCGAAATCAGGGAGTAATCAAGTACAAAGTAATCATTATTTCATACAAACACCACAGTTTATTCTCATAATTGTTCTCCCTTTGTGACAAAATAAATGTGGCCATAAGCTCACAAAAATGATGAATTATTCTGAACTGAGTAATTTTCATCATAACTAATCAATTATTTTCAAAGGAACCTCTACTATTCAGCAAACACATCAGTTAGAGAAACATTGAGGACAAAGAAGATTGGTATACGCCCGTGAATAATCAACTGTGCTTACGCACTTAACCAGTAAAGATGGAACTCATGACCTTAAGTTTCCAAGTCGAGCGTGGTACATTTAGATAAGTGAATAGAAGTCTATTGGTTTCACTGACTATTGCTGTTCAATTTAATACAGAGCGCGACCATCATCATCGCCAAGATGAAACTAAAACTCAAGAAGCACTGGACAATGGCGCGGACAACATCACAAAATTTTAACACGGCTTTTCTTCGAGATGCTGACAAACTCAACGAATTTAACATAGCCCTCAGCAACAGGTTCCAGGCCTTTCATAACCTACTCAATGAAGAGGGAACCACCATAGAGAGCAGCTGGAAAGGTATCAAGGAGGCAATCGTTTCAACATGTCAGGAGGTTCTGGGCCAAAAGAAGCACCATCACAAGGAATGGATCACTGTTGGTACACTGGATAAAATTGAAGCAAGGAGGAACAAGAAGGTAGCAATCAATATCAGCCGAACAAGAGCAGAAAAAGCCAAGGCACAAGCCGAATACACAGAGGCAAACAAGCAAGTGAAGAGGAGCATCAGGACCGACCGACGTAAATATGTGGAAGATTTAGCGATGACAGCGGAAAAGGCTGCAAGAGAGGGAAACATGAGACAACTGTATGATACAACAAAGAAACTTGCTGGAAATTACCGTCAACCAGAAAGACCAGTCAAAAACAATGAAGGAAAAGTAATCAACGATATTGAAGAACAACAAAACAGGTGGGTAGAACACTTCAAGGAACTCTTGAATCGACCAGCTCCACTGAACCCACCCAACATCGAAGCAGCACCCACAGACCTCCCAATCGATATTGGCCCACCAACAATTGAAGAGATCAGCATGGCCATTAGACAAATCAAGAGTGGCAAAGCAGCGGGACCAGACAACATCCCGGCAGAGGCACTGAAAGCAAATGTAACAGCAACTACCAAGATACTCCACATCCTCTTCGGTAAGATTTGGGACGAAGAACATGTACCAACAGACTGGAAAGAAGGACTTCTCATCAAGATACCAAAGAAAGGCGATCTGAGCAAGTGCGACAACTACAGGGGCATCACTCTCCTCTCAATACCAGGAAAAGTCTTCAACAGAGTATTGTTAAACAGGATGAAGGATTCCGTGGACGCTCAACTTCGAGATCAACAAGCTGGATTTCGTATGGATATATCGTGCACAGATCAAATCGCAACTCTACGTATCATTGTGGAACAATCAATCGAATGGAATTCATCACCCTACATCAACTTCATCGACTACGAGAAGGCATTTGATAGCGTGGACAGGACGACACTATGGAAGCTTCTTCAACACTACGGTGTGCCTGAGAAGATAGTAAATATCATACGGAACTCCTATGATGGACTAAACTGCCAAATCGTCCACGGAGGACAACTCACCGACTCGTTTGAATTAAAGACCGGTGTTAGGCAAGGTTGCCTACTCTCACCCTTTCTCTTTCTCCTGGTGATCGACTGGATTATGAAGACGTCAACATCTGGAGGAATGCACGGGATACAGTGGACAGGCAGGATGCAGCTTGACGATTTAGACTTCGCGGATGATCTGGCTCTTCTATCACAAACGCAACAACAAATGCAGGAGATGACGACCAGTGTAGCAGCAGCCTCAGCAGCAGTAGGTCTCAATATAAACAAAGAGAAAAGCAAGACTCTCCGATACAATACAATATGCACCAATCCAATTACACTTGACGGAGAAGCTTTGGAGGATGTGGAAATCTTTACATATCTGGGCAGCATCATTGATGAACACGGTGGATCAGATGCAGATGTGAGGGCGAGGATCGGCAAAGCAAGAGCAGCATACCTACAGCTAAAAAACATCTGGAGCTCAAAACAATTGTCAACCAACACAAAGGTTAGAATTTTCAATACAAATGTCAAGACAGTTCTTCTGTATGGGGCAGAGACGTGGAGAACTACGAAAGCCATTATCCAGAAGATACAAGTGTTTATTAACAGCTGTCTACGCAAGATACTTCGGATCCGATGGCCAGACACTATCAGCAACAAGTTACTGTGGGAGAGAACAAACCAGATTCCATGCAGCGGAGAAAGAAATCAGGAAGAAGCGCTGGAAGTGGATTGGGCACACTTTGAGGAAATCACCCAATTGTGTCACAAGACAAGCCCTCATATGGAATCCTGAAGGTCGAAGGAGAAGAGGAAGACCAAAGAACACATTACGCCGAGAAATAGAGACAGATATGAGAAGAATGAACAAGAACTGGAAAGAACTAGAAAAGAAGGCCCAGGACAGAGTGGGTTGGAGAAAGCTGGTCGGCGGCCTATGCTCCATTGGGAGTAACAGGCGAAAGTAAGTAAGTAAGTAAGCGACCATCATCCACAATCATTAGTTGTTATCTTTCAAATCGCGACATGATTGAGTTCTATAAATCACGACTGCTCACTGCAAATTCGATAATCTGTCTCAAATGGGGTTAATAATAATTGGATTGTGACTGTGATAAGATTATTATTCATCGACTGACTTGGATTGTTTTCATTCCACTAAGCAGAGCTCATCAGTTGAGAACAGTGTTTTAAATATACTCTCTACATTTGTAACAGTCTTTACCTCCAGAAATATGTTGTCACTACTCTTAGTAGTTTGTCTATTAAATGTATTGGTAGGATAGGAATGACGGAGGAATTTTCAATGCTGTTAAATTAATTCTGAATTAGCAAATCAAAGTATAATTGGATTAATATAGAAGCGTCTGAATTTTGAGTGGTACGATCATGTCATTTAGTTATTGATCACACTATCTAGCGATCGATTTTGTACATCAGAAGTGATTTCTTATCAAATTTAACTTGTATTCGGTTGTCTCTAAAACTAATTTTGAAGTGTTGTTTTAATATTTTTGAAATGAAGTGCATAATAATTTTAATAACACTCCAGAAACACCGCTTTTACATCTAATTCCCACCGAAGCAAAGCATACTTCAGTATCATTGAAATCAACAATTAATATAATTTGGAGCGCCATTATAAATCTGGAAGCACTTGGTTGTTGCTTCATCCAAGTATGGGACTCCTTAGACGTGTTCATTCACAACCCTGCCACACGGAGTTGAACACAGGACATTCGATTACGCGCTCAAACTGCATAACTCTAGATCACTGACAATGGAAGACAATGGACAATGGTTGCATTGTGTCACGGAATGGAATTTAAAGTCGGATGTCGGCTCAGTGGTCTAGATGTTAAGTTTCCGCGCATGTGAGTGAATTTCCTGGGTGTGATCGTGGTTGCACACGCTGAGGAATCCCATACTAGGATGAAATGGCCACTAAGTGCTTCCAGATTTTCAACGGCGGTTCAAATTTGATCGGTTCATGATTTCGATGGAATTCATATATCTCCATAACATCTTTATTGGGCACTCTTATTTGTCTTTAGTTTTAGGGTAGTATATACTATCTATCATGACAGATATAAGTTGTATGTTGCCGAGATCGAGAGTGAAATGCCTGACAGCAGAAGAATGAATTGAAGAGAATAGGGTTGAAATGGTAGAGGAACCAAAATAAAAACATAAGAAAAATAATAGAGTATGTAAAGGCAACGCAAAGATGTGCAAATAACGTATTTATTGTAAGATTTTCATATTTTATTAACCAACTTTGTTATTTTGCATTAAACAACAGTTTTGTTCTCCATACCAAATCTTCGTTCATCACTCTAGTATTTGAAAAACTTGAACTGAACCCAATTTAGGTGGTGATTTCGTTTCTTTTGCCTGTTAATTTATTACACTTTTATGTTGGAATTTCGATAAGTTTGGATTTTACAACCAAATCAAAGATCAGAAAAGCATGTAATTTATCTCAGTATTGCGTGAAGAACAAAAAGGTGAGTTCATCTTTACCCTTACTGTATACTGTACGCTTAGAATCTAAGTTTTCCACTGATTCTATCATATTTTGTTGTTTTAGCATGAGGGTTATATTTTTTCTATCCCAAACTGACAATCAAATTCTATCCTAATAGTGTAATTATCTCCTGTTTACCTATATAATTTAAGATCTTTTTTGATCCACTAGGTGGCTTTCGGTATTCTTAACTCATGAATCTCAGAATCGAACTAAAGTAGTTGTGCATTAACTGTTGGTTTACCGTGATCTTTCAACTAATTTCAATATGCTCTAAATTATTGTAGATAGGTCCGAAAGCTTAATTTGCTTGATTAAATCAATCTTCATTGATCTCTACCAAATGAATCTCTCTTTCATGATGTGTCATTTTTTAGAAGCTGAATACAGGAGAAAAAGAAGTATTTGATAGCCTGTTATCAAAGCGTAGCTAGAATTTATAACCGTTAGTTCAAGATACATCATAAAGTTATCAACCTACTACAGGATCTAAATGCTTTTGATATCACGTATCTGTCGTCACTATAATGTATATATAGATATATATCACTAGTATAGAGCATTATGTAAATATTGAATACTACTAATTTGAAGAACTCATATCACATCAAACATTATGTTTCATTAAAAAGTGTGTTGTTATCAGTAAGTTTAAATTTTTGTATTTGTAACTGATGTTTTTTCTATAAAATTTCAGGAAGTAAACTTTTTGAATGTTACTAAGGGTAACAGCTTTTATTTTTACCGCCAATAGATTCTGGTAATGGGCTCAAAAGACATTTGAATGTGTCAGCCAAACGTTCGTACAAGTTTTTCCTGAATGTGTAGAATATGAAGAAAGTAAGAGAGTTTATTAATATTTGTTCATGAAAAAGTCATTGTGAACGCGTGAACAATGAAGTGAATATACAAATTTTAGAGGCAAATTGTAGTTGAATTCGTTTAATTGATCACAGATTACGTGTTTATGGGATAAAAATTATTCATAGAAGTTATTTAAAATATCGAACACTCCGTCAGTACTTAATGTTATCTACCAATTATATTACATTTTTGGCATGACTCGATGGAGTTAAAAATAGATTTTTTTGTTTCGTTAAATACAATGGTTACCCTTTAGGCTATTGTATTGTTTAGCATAATCCAAACACATTGTTTTGAAAAAAAGTACCATCATCAACAGTGAGTAATGAAAATCCATAGCTGTGAACTGAAATAAATTGCGTGTTAATGTGTACTGAATACCGTGATACCATCATAAGATCTGACAACAAACCTCATTAAAAAACTTAGGCTAGACTGATAATTTCATTTCTTTAAGTTGAATAGCCTTAATTTAACGTGTAACTAGACAAAATCTACTGAGATAGTATTCGCTGATGTATGTTAGAAGGATGTCTGTATTTTTGTTTGCTTTTCTTAAATAAAACTCATTATAACTATTTGGAACTTTTCGCACTCCAATGGAACATTAAATATTTCCTCAACTGTATAGCTCAAGATCATGTGTTCGAGTTCACTAAAAATACGAATTAATTAAAATGGTTGCTTTCTATTTAAAAAAAATAGATAAGTTCAGCTCTGTTTAACCTGCTGAGAAATCATTCCATAGAACTTTTGAGATGAATGAGTAATGTAATACATATTATTTTAAAAGTCATTCTGTTCATTATAGCATATCAATTAAATGATAGTATTGTGTATTAAGGTCATACTTTTACTACCAGGATGGTCATATTTATTGGAACAAATTTTTACTAGAGTATTATCATAATCTTCGAACAATTGATTAGCATAAAATCCATAAGGTCGAAACTCGGAAACTAAGTGTCAAGTGATCTTTATAAGTATACCAATAAAGCTGAAAAATAATTTATTACCTATCGCGCAACAAGATTCCATTGATTTATCACTATGTGTTCAACTTTAAATATATAACTATCTTTCGACTAAAAATATGTACCACACATTAGGAACGTAATTGAGTCAATCGTTAACGACTATTTTGTAAAATGTAAATTTAATATAAGGAAATATATATCGATGATAGTGTTGTACAACGAATAATTCATACTCATTTATCATTGTGAGATATTAAGAGCAGTAGTTATTAGATTGGGTCAATAAATCTTAAGTTTCCTAGTTAAGACACAAAAGTCTGCAATTAATTAAGACACGTATTCAACTCAGTATATACAAGATATAGTGACATCAATGAGAGCTTATCTCGATAATTTTGTTTTGGCCCAAGACTGCATAGATATGCATTAGCCGTGAAAGCGATCAGCTGTACAATAAGTAGGATAATCGAGAAAATGACTTACCAGAAGTTCAAGATAAGCTCTCTGAAGTGTGAATTGGTGTAATAATTTATTTAATGACACTGTCAACCTTTCAACACAAAGTCATGAATAACTTTGAAAATTAAAAATTATGGTTTCATTTTACATGTAACGACAATTAATAAAATAAACTTAAATCTTGGTCAAGTAATTAAAATAAACAACCATAAGATTTCAGTTGTCATTTCTTGTCGGTGATTATGGACAAAGAAGAACGGCTTCTCCACCCTGACTCAGTAGATAAATACTTAGAAAGAAATATCTACGCTTATTACTTTCCACACATTTCTTGCACATATAACTGTGATATTGAAGTTTACTTTAACGAAATAAAAACAACAAATTCTTATTGACATACGTATCAGGTGGAGTAAGTATTTCGCGGTGTTTTGCTTATAGACCCTACTTTTTCTCTCCAGAAATGTACAGAATACTTTTTATTAAACTCAAGCACTTTAATTACCAAGAAAAGTATGATATTATGGTTATATCACCAAATCGTTTAACAGATTTATCCATTTCTCTTATTTCACTGTTAAGAAACCAAGTTCTTCATACACAGCCTCATTTAATGTACTTTCTCGGGATAACATTATAATATCAATAAAACAAATAAGATCTTACTTCTAATCATATTTGTTTATAGGGATGAAACTAAGCACCATTTTATTGAAGGTTATTGACTTATTTACATACAGAAATATCTATAATTGCACATATTCGATGATGAAGTAACTAGTTAATAGTTAATTATATAGAATAGAAGAGAACTTTACATATCCATTGAAAATAAGTTAATTTCAACTCACTCGACATTGAAGATAACTGAAAATATAATCCATATATTGGTAAATATGTTGTCATGCTTACGTGAATAATTCTAATATCATGATTATTTGACACCGCGTTTAAATCAAGGCCAGAATACATACATGAACGTTTTTAATGTTTTACATATGTTGCAAGATGTTATGGAAGATTTGACTAACTTGATGTAAAACTACTGTAGAACATCAAATTCCTGGTATACGGATAGCTATATTTTTGTTGGATAACACTATTCAAAAGCCAATATACATTATACAAATATTCACCAAATTACAAGTAGACAACATGTGAAATACATTGAAATGACAATTGAAAGCCCTAATTCTATATAATTGTTTCTGTAAGGATGGCTCGTTGGCAAACTCCAGGATGCCTCAAGAAGCCCAGAAAGAGCCGAAGACCCTCCATACAGTCACCACTAGGGGAACATTCTAGAATGTCGACATGTAGCTTCCCTATTGGATGAATAAGAATGACCCCTATGTTCCTATTGGCTGTCCGAAATGATGATTTACTTTCAGCCAAAAAACTATAAATACATGAGATTTCTGTACTACATTTAACACTGTTTGGGGAATAAAATACCTACTTACTAGTCTTCTGCCTTCTCTCTTGCGATGTTGCGGGTTTGATCGTTCAAGTAGTCTAGTAGTACGCGGCATAGCAAGAATCAAAACTCTAGATATAACAGTTTCTCTTTACGAATTCGGCTTCATTTAAATATCTAATAATATACTTCCCGAAATATAAATCAGTATCAATAATTTCTTCCAGCACAAGCTAGTCAACATGTAAACAGTAAGAATAAAATAATTTTATTCATAAATGAAATCATTTCATTCTCATTCTGTTTGTACAATCCATTAGGTTCATCATATAAGTTGAAATAGTTATTGTGAGCTGCTTGCTTTACATATTGTTCTGTTTAATTTTATTTTGTAATGACAAATTAGAGATAAATGATCATAACATGATATTTACAAATTGTTGATTTTCTTTTTCTCTATTTCAAGGGTAAACCTTTTTATTTATTTTATTTTAAACACAAATATTTGTACAAGGGGGCACCAGATATATATGCGCCTCACAAATCTCATTGGATTTGTGTGAGGGCTGTGATACTGCCCAGGTGCCCAAACTGAAGCAGGTGGCTTTCTTAGGGGACCACACCCGGAATCCTTGACCTAAAGATCTGATTCACAAGGCAGTGGAGCATCATGAGGAGATACAGTCTCATGGTAGCCGGTGACCAACAACAGGTTCATACGCCATTCGTTCCATCAGGATACTGGAGCTCATGTGCACCATTGGTTTGGAATCAGGGTTTTCCCTAGGTGAACTTTCCGTGTCCAGCAATCCGGTTAAAGCGCCGGACATTCGCTTTTCGTCCTCTCACTTTTGTGAACAACACCCGCGCCACGAGAAGGCAGTGAGTAGAACTTCCCTGGCAGAGGCTATATACGCGTGGCCATATGAGAGTATTTCGAGAGGGAGAGCGGACTCTGCCCACTCTCGGCCGTACCGGGGCATTTGAGGGAAAAGGTAAACCTAATGTCCGTTGACTAAAATTTGTCCTTTTCATACTTGAATACTACCATTAATTATATTCCTAAATTCTTCACCGTTACATGGCTTTCTTCAAGTATAAATAGTAAGGCTTTTACTTGATTATAATCAATATGAATATATGTGTGCTTATAATTTGTTTAAAATTTACTATTATATTAAATTGCAAGAATCTGTGCCAAAAAATATTTACTGAAGCCTAAATCTTTCACTTATATGGTATTCCGTTTGGCTTATTTCTAGTAACTAAGTGAATTGAAAACATCATAAAAATTAATCTTTCTTGAATGACCTAATCAACTTATCTTGTTTGTAACTTATCGGATTAGAGATAAATAAGAGGTATGGTTTTTGAGCATATTTATTCTTGCAATAAGGACCTTCTCAATAAAAGTAATAAACTAGGTGTAACCGATTTGACTAGTTCAACTCTTCTATAAATAGTTATCATAACCTTATTGAAATTGCCACAAAGAATACATGTAATCTATTGTGTAAAAAATAGTTTTAGCGTTATTTTAACAGGACATTAGTCATACAAATACTATATTGGAAAACATCCTAAGAACTGAAGAGGCTTTGTGGAGAATTCAGTATTTTCATAGTTGAAACCATGAAATCAAGAACTTTCAAAAGTATTACCTCTATTTCCCTTTTGTCCTAAAAAACAAAATAAATAATGTAGATATTTATTTTGAGAATTACATATCTAAATTAGCAATCAGAATGAATTCAAAATGGAGACAGTAAACAGTCTTTCATTCAACCACGAACAATTTCAGTCGATGTAATCATGAACCAATCTAAGTTAAACCACTAGGTTTTCAGTAATCATTTGTTCGTGATATCAACGAAAGTCTACAAACTTCACTACTAATCGACGATTTCAGTCAGATATTCTATCACATCGTAACTCCATATATCTGTTAGGTAATGCTTTCTTTTTAAATATCATGTGAAATGAATTGATAGCTATTCGTTACCTCAAAAAATTCATCGTTTCTGTACACGTATAACATTATTGCCAGACTGATTATCGTCCAATCGGAATATGAAACATCTTTAATGTAATTACAACAAACATTTAATCTTATAAACCTAATAAGTCATTAATGAACCAACTTAAAATTTATACTCAGTATCTGATTTACTTTCACTTTGAAAAAACAGTCCAAATGTCATTGATTTCCAGTAAATAATCTTAATACAGTAAGAAGTACTTGATAGCCAGATATGGATTTATTAAATCATAAACCAATTATATTTTTTGTTGTTGATATTATTATTGTTATAGCCCGTGGAGATTTATGAATGGTAACTTTGAGAACTATTTATGGACCAATATGATATGTATATCTTCTATTGTATAATTGTTAAGTAAATAAACTATCCATATTCGTGTGCCTCTTATTATAAGCTTTATTTTGACCTATAGACTATTATTATTCGATTTACCATTCTTGAATTATCCATAGGTCATTAATTACTGTTCCCCCTATTCACAACCACATTTGGCCAAATCTTGTACAAATGTTATTTTCTGCTTCATGGTACGATGTGGTCAGTTTGTTTGGTATATAAGCCCAGTATGCTTGAAATAAATGATTCATATTGCCGAGGCTGTTATTGGTGTCCTGGACTTAACTGGCTGGGCTAGGCAGAAAGCAGGACCAATAAGTACTCTAGATTGCTCGTACGGCTTTTGTGTATCATTGGGCGGTCAATAAATTCACTGCTCTCCAATTGGTGGTCGTATAACGTCATATATTAACTGCGCACTCACGCAATCGATAAAACAATTATGGGTAAAAAATGAAACAAAATTGAAAAGTTCAGCAATAGTTAATCGTTGAACAGATGAATATTTGCATAAAACATGAATAACTGATTGCAATATTAAGAATTCGTACAACATTTCTGTGTGTTTTACACTTAAGAAAATGAAAGAATTTTTGTGGTATGATTGGACAAATAAAAAATTCAAATAAATCTACAGGAGCACTGAATCTGATCTTTAACAAACAGTTAAGACCATTATTTGGTATTAGGTTATCCAACGTAAAGTAAACTGAGGTGCTATATGAGCATAATATTAAAATGTATCATCTTGGAAACAATATGTTATGATTTAGAAAATTCGGTTTTTAAGTATTACTGGAATTTTCTAACAGGAAAACTGCTTCAAGCGAATCTCTAATAACACGTAACTGTCTACACTCAGCTCTGTAGATAAGTTTAATGTAAGTTATGAAATAATACAAACTTTTTAAAATCTTACTTCAACATATAGCTATCAAGACGTACCATTCACTTCTTGTGATATGATTACTGAAAGTAAAAACAAAGATCCCAGTAAAATTTTACTGATATCCATATTATTTAACTAATATACCGTCGTTTAGTCTTCGGTATTAATGAATAAATATTGACTGTAGTACAAATAGATAATCTAGATCATTTTGTCAGTTAGTTATTTAGTAACCAATGGAAAATGTTAGCTAAACAAAATATTTTTTACTTCCTAAAATCAGTCGATTGAATAAAATTTGTTCGTAATATCATGCAAAAAAATAATAAGGTAATCATTTTACATTTTGTTACACTTAGAGCACATAGCCGATCTCAAATACGAACATATACACACATGCAAAACGAAGCAACTCATATTACAATTGATCAAAAGATTGAATTAACTATGTAAATTATATTGATGGCAAAACCTCACAACTAATAAATCAATAGACGATTTCGGATTCAACTTCCTTTTTACTTCTTTGATGTACAATTAAGAATAATAGCTGTGAACATGACAATAGTAAAATTGTATATTCGAATATTTGGCTAGCAGTGCTATTTTGGGTTTAGGTTTCGCTTTTTTAAATCTTCGTCTTAGTATTAATATTCACAGTATTCGCTTATATTGAATCTCTTTTGACGAAGACGGATACTGCATGAAATCAATTAGTTGATGTTCTGTTGTTCAGTGCCCAATTTTAGTAATGATGTCCAATCATCCCATACATGGGTGCAACCATCTATACGAGTGAAAAGACTCAATGTAAGAACTTTAGTTACCAACAGAACCAAAGAATATGTTTCTTTAAAAAAATTAAATCACCAATGATTTACAAATTATTTCTGAGAAATTACAATTATTTCTCGTCTGATCACGTATACTTATCAACGCCGAGCTGGCTGCATCTGTCGACCGCATCCTAGAAATCCCGAAATCTTCTAATACCGAGGTTTATCAGTCAAACAAAAACCTCAAACGACCAAGAATAACATTACGGAACTATTCCATACACTTACACGTCATCTTAGTTTTCGTGATAATAGTAATCAGTTACATACCCAGCGAAGAAGCATTTCACGTTGGCGATCTGTCTCCAGACGACGAGAGACGGATAACCCCGACTGCTGTAGGTATCATTGTAGTGTAGTGCTTTGTTAATCGATCGTCTCGATAACCGTTATTATATCAATCTGAAAGGTGTATAATATCAGGAGACAAAGGGAAGTGGCAACTACATTTTTATTGACAAATAACATAGGCTAGAAGGCAGTAAGCACATGAGTAAATGTTAGCGAGCGAAGAAAAAATAACATACATGGGAGATGGCTGGTAAGCCAACTCGTTATAAGCAAGCATTAATCAACATTTATAGTCAGACTAAAATGAATGACAGACATGTGATAGGTAGGATGAGAAGTGTGCATACACATACGCTCATATAAAAAAATAGTCAAGGTCAATAAGGGAATAATTAACAAGATCAAAATATGACTCATAACGTTATATGTGAATCGGCTTGTCCAGAAACTAGAATAAGCTATGTATGTGTAATATAGTACACGACGTTACACTACTCCCCACATCATAATCGGTATGGAACCTATTCTAAAAATTGCAGAAAACCCTGCAATTATCTGAACTCCAAATTCACTAACACGAAAAACAACTTGGGAAACTTCTTAATCGGCATGCGTTAACGGCAACCGTAGCCGGCGAACATAGCCGTCTGTTATACGTCACAGATCTGATCACGAAAGTTTACCACCTCGTCGACACCGGCGCAGAAGTTAGCGTGTTTCCCGCGAACTCTAATGACAGACTTCACGAGTCTGCTTTAAGTTTACAGGCGGAGAACGGAAAACCGATCGTTACATACGGTAAAACGTACGTTTACCTGAATGTGGGTTTACGCAAACCCATCGACTGGATCTTCGTTTTTGCAGATGTCTCTATGCTAATCATTGGTATAGACCTCCTACAACACCACAATCTACTCATTGACACACGCTCACGAAGGTTAATAGACGGAAACACTAGGTTATCTATTTGCGTAACTCCCTTTTCTGGTTGCAGATTATGCCCCAGTCACAATTAAGCACGACATAGATCCCTTATATCAATCATTGCTCGACAAATACTCCGGGATATATCAACGGCAAAAGAAATTGCCTTGTGTAACCAGAAATGTTACACATCACATCTCGATTACAGGACCACCTCTATTTTCGAAAGCACGCCGACTGGCTCCCGAAAAGCTGAGGTTGGCTAAAATCGAAGTTGACCACATGATAGAGTAAGGAATCATTCGACCGTCAAATAGCCCATGGCCATCCCCCTTGCATATGGTCCCTAAAAAGGACAGCAACGATTGTCGTCCAACAGGTGATTATCAGCGTTTGAATGCTAAAACCATTCACGATCGTTACCCGTTGCCTCACATTCACGATTTGACAGCGACTGTGAAAGGTACAACTGTCTTTTTGAACATCGACTTGGTTTAAGCCTATAACCAAGTCCCTATGGCAACTGACGATATTCCAAAAACCACTATCATCATTCTTTTCTGACTCTCCGGCCTAAGAAATGCTGCCCAAACCTCCCAAAGGTTTATCGATTACGTTTTTGGAGGTCTCGACTTCGTACATGCGCATGTTGATGGCTGCTTAATAGCAAGTCCGGACAGAGAATCCCATTTCCTGCATCTAGACATTGTGTTCGAATGACTGCAAAAGCATGGCATTACTGTGAACATTCAGAAATGCCAAATTGAAACCAACTCCTTAGACTTCATAGGACGTATTATTGATGTTCAAGGCATTCGACCTCTTAGAAGCAAAGGGCCGGTGTTACTGGTAAAGTGTTGTCAAAATACGATACCGGTAGAATCTTCAACGTAATAGGAGAGCTGGCAACTGTTCAATTAGTATGACAAACTACGCCATGTACAGTCAATACATTACTTAATAAACATACTGAGTACTGACACAGCCAAACATAGTGTCTTGAAAACAAGGCAAGGACTGTTCTCTCAAGACAAAGTTTTTAATATTTCTATCACTAAATGCCTCAGCTGGTGTGTTTATGTTCAATGTACGAGTGATTAATGAAGCAGGTACTTCATTCTGTTACGCAGCTGATCAAAGGTTTGCATTGTTTGGCAGCACTTTTTTAGATTGTAGATTTTGTTTGTGTACATTGAGTTTAGACGTTGAAGTAGTACGCGGAAAGTTGAATTCATTAATGAAGTTATTTTTAAGGTTTGCGAAAACCAGGACATTTGTAAGTCATAAAGTAGTAGGATTTCTACTAATCATGCAAAGTTCACTTCACTATTTTTGTGAACGTTGCGTTTGATGAACGTTTGTTAACAAGAAATCACTCGTGTGTTGTAGCACCCTAATCTTATTTTGGGTAAAATTTTGTCCGGTCTGGGTAGATTTTGGAGAAAATGTTATAGAAAATCTCGGTATAAACAGCATAAGAATCCCAAAACTTTTCTAGGTTTGGGGAAAACTGCCATATTTCTTACGGCTGTCACTTGGTGGCTACTGTGTGTTGTTGGTAGGTGATTACTGTTCAGCGCTTGATTCAAGTGAAAGAAAATTTTAATACTATGTATCTGGATGTAGCGAATTGCATAGTTGTCTGTTGTACATATTCCTCAATCATATCGGAGTTAGTGCTTATTGTCTATCCTCTGATTCGACTTTTTCCATGTATAGGTTTCACAACTTGAATGACTAGGTCTTCTTACTAGTGAATATATTCAAAAATTTCGAAGTCCTAATAGGCCACGACCATGTGATTTTGTACTAGCACCATACAATTCATACTAAAAGTCTTTATGTCATCCTTACTGAATAAGCTGTTGCTTTCATGTCTTGACCATTAAAGACCCATAGTTCATTGTGGGTTACTCGACACTAGCGCACATAAAAACTCCAACACTCCTTACCCATTGGTTTTTTCACATTCACAAAGGTAATAGCTTACAATATTTATACATACCTAGGTCAACTGGTTGGAAGTAAACATCAGTTTTAATCTATACATCTGTGATGTTATATCATTCTTGATACTTGCTCCATTCAAACGTAAGGTCGAATCCTAAGCTGTACGTTCTTACTGAATAATATTGTCTACGTAAGTTTCGTCTCATTGGACCGACCGGCAATGGCTTGTGTATCTATTGGGACCTTAATGTGTTGATGAAGTGCGGCGTGAATGTAAGCAGTTTTTTTTTAGTGACTTAAACAAAAAGACCTGGTAAATAAGTGAATTTCAGTGGGATCGGAATTCATAGAAATCACCTCAGACTCCAGATACAGTGAAAATTTAAACGTATACTAACAGAAGTTCTACTTAGTCAAAAAAACATTTTCCACAATACTGCAGAATAAAACCATTAACAGAACATTTTAAAGAACAGTTCAACTGGCCTACATTTACCCTATGGTTACCTTCTGTTACCAAACAATCTGGAAGATCGGAACCGGCCTTCACCTGTAACCATAGTTGAAAGTGATATAGCCGAGCGTGTTGACCACTTCACTTATCTTTGAAGCTTCATTAGCCCTGGTGGGTTGGTATTCGATGAAGTCTCCACGGGTTTAGAAGGCTTGCTTGGTGTTTTGCAAAATCGCGTCACTTGTAGTGCGTAATCTAGATTTCCGTCCACTAACAAATTTTTGAACAAAATCTTCGCCAGCTTAATGTCTGTGAATCGGTCTTCAAAAGTAAGGGAAATTAATAAGTTACTAGTCTTAGATCAAAAGTGTCTTAAGTATTTATCGTTTGTTAAAACCACTAAGTGACCAATTTTGAAGTTAAGCGTGGGGTACTGGACTTAAATGTTACATCGGTTGATGTTTTGAACCTCCATCGACTGAAGTGTTTACAAGAACTATTACGTATCCTTTACTCAGCCTACCTTAGCGCTCAATGTTTGTTGAATTGGAAATACGTTAGGAGTTAGGGGCGCCCAGACCAAGTATGTGAATCCATCGGCTGTTGATCTGAACCGCATTGGTAGTTACGGACGTTTTGGTTCGAACGATCATCGTGACCATTGTTTGAAAACGCTGAATGGCGTGACTCAAAATCACTCTACCAACCTCTAGATCCTGATTTGTAAAATTATATCATGCCTGTTACTCCTCGAATCCCTTTCTCATTCCTAGTCTGAACTGATATCACTCATACTGATTTTACTTAAATTTTCATTCTTCTCGTAATAATGTGGTTTGGCAACTTGAACCAGTTCATATTCCTGCCTGAATCTGCGTTGCTCGTGACTGAGTGTTTGTTGATTTTCCTCCATTGTAAAGGGGGATGAGTTAGACCAGTTTGATCTTGTTTAACATCTCTTCTTCTACGTATTTTTCCTATAATCCAACAATGGTACATAGTATTTCAAGTCACCAGTTGCAGTCTTTGTTATCCAACCAGCGGTGTAAAAGGAAATAGTATCAAAGTTTTGCTGAGAAATAATTTTATGCATAGACGAATCGGTCTCAGAATGATAATTTGAAAAACTGGTCAATATGCTTCAGTTTTTACAAAATGATTTCTGTTCTATTTTAACGAAAATTGTTAGAATAGCTTACACTTTCCAAAGCGGTTTCGTATAGAGTACTAACACCAGAATGTTGGTTTTTGTACTTTTCTGTTTTCACTTACAGTTAATGTGCGTGCTAAATTTTAAGTACCATCTTTCAGTTACTTCATAACGTGATTTTGATTTTCTTTTTATTTCGTATTTATTTAGACTTAACTATGCCTCGTAACTTTAGTCTTCAACCTGAAAGAAAGAGTCGTATGACTGGAATTCCTTCTAATATTAAAGCAAGGTAGATTGTTTGTTATACATTAGCTAAACACCATTTAGGACTTCATCTGTTGGTCCACAGGAACAAAAACCCGTAAACCGTGAGGTCAAATCTAAAGCAAATATCACTAAGATGATAGGAAGTTTAATTCAGGTAAGCTGTGTTTTGACAGACTTAACTTTCATTTAACTTCAGTTTCTGGAAACCACCGACTATTCTAATTCCCTTTCTCCCAAAATCCTCCATTCACCCAACTCAAAAGAAATTTTTTCAATATTCGAACATCTTGTTCGACAAGTTGAACCCTCCTTTCGTATTGAAAACGACGGAATAAAAGCGGAAGAAGTTTGTCTAAAGTAACAATAATTTTCTATAAAAGCAAACAACATAATTATTGGTTCTTCTGTAGTTATCTTAAAATTTTAGGCTATCCAAATATTCTTAGCAAGCATCATTTATTAGCACCTGGTGCTCCTCAAGCCTGGAATTCAGTTTTAGCGGCGTTCGACTGGTTCAGAGAAGAAACAGAAAATGCAAACGACGTAATAATTTCATTATAAGTCATTTCTATATTCATCTGTGTTTAGGCTATAAATTTTTCGGTGTTCAGGTATGATGATGATCAAGATACTGAAGAAGAGCCGCTGAACAAAATTATTTTTCAATTGAAATCAGTTATTTTTAAAAGAAGACGCGAAGGCTTTGATATATTTCCAAGTGATATTGAAGTATGTCGGTGATTTAACTTTTGTAACAGATGTTTTTTCCTCTGTATCTGATTTACTTCGGTCAAACAACCATTGAAGCACAAAAAGTGTTGAGCAGCCCTTTGGTTCTACCATTAGACTCTTGGGCTCAATCAGTGGTGGGGTCGTGGATACATACTGCTAGTTAGTCCCATACTGTAAGGATACAGTCGTCCAATGTTTCCTAACTTTTATCGGTTTTCTAAGGTCACTACGTTAAGTAAACTAAAATTCGACAATCCCCACAAATCCATTCCCCATACTAATGTTTTACTTCACTGTGCCTTTAATCGAACTGGTTTGTTATCATTAGGTAATTAATAGATTACTGAAAACTACGAATTTGTGTATCTGTTAATTTCACTATTAGTGATGATTCGAATATGTATGTCAGCTTAAACTCGTCAATTCTGACGTATTGATGATGAAGTTGTAAAAAATTTCAACCAACTTATGGCAGTTATCAGTAGTATAACATGTTCCTAGTAGATTTTCATGAACTTTTGTCCGTTATGATTCGGTTAGGTTTTATGACAATGAATTTCAATTTATTTTATTAGCTTTATGCTCTTCTGTTTAAGAGTCGATCTTATTACTATGTTGTAACATTCTCCTAATCATCAAGTTAGATAATGTGTTTTTGACGCGGGATTTCCGAGCCTAATACTGATACACAAACTTCCTATAAGTAAACCTTTAACCGGCTATTGTGTGAGAAGAAAGTTTATTGAGTTAAACCGAGTCAAATGCAAAAGCATATATATATATATATATATATATATATACTCAGGAAGTAAGATCATTTTTTGGCCAAAAACACACACTTGTAGTCAAGGTCACAACGTGGCCTTCTCATTTGGCGGATTCCGGTTGGCTCACTGTATCACCTTTTGCTACCGAAAAATAGGTTCTACCTCTGTTTCATAATTAATATTATTTCTATCTTGTAACATTCGACTAGTCACCAAAGTTAGATATGTTTTGAAAATACCATATGGTATATTTATCTCAGTTCTTTCAACATCAAACTGTTGACATAGATACCACCGATCCCCCAAATGCTCTGGTTCGGTCGAGAGTAGGGAGAGTCCGCTCTCCCTCTCGAAATGTTCTCACATGGCCACGCGTATGTAGCCTCTGTCAGGGAAGTCCTAATCACTGCCTTCTCGTGGCATTACTGTTGTTTACGAAATTGAGAAGACGAAAAGCGAATGTCCGGCGCTTTAACCGGGTTGGTGGACATGGAAAGTTCACCTAGGGGAGTTGGAAAACCCTGATTTTAAACCAGTGGTGCACACGGACTCCAAGATCGTGAGTGAACGAATGGCGTATGAACCTATTGTTGGTTACCTGCGACTATGGGACTGCATCTCTCTATATTACTCCACTGCCTTGTGGATCAAACCTTCAGTTGAAATGATTGTGCAGCTGCATCATTGTGACTGATTCGGATTTATGTTGCCTAGAGACTTACCGTTGACCGCAATAATCGAATGGATATAAAGCTTTCAACTCTCTTCAGTTAATAATGAATTCATAGGTTAATTTTGTGTTTTTATTTGACCACTCTCACTCTTTCCCGATCTACTTCCACTCTGGATAACATTATGCATCGGGATGGTTAGTAAATGGGCGTGGTTCGACTCTCTTGGTCAATATTATCCCACAACCTTATAAACAAATATACTTTCTTTTCTTAATACACTAAGTCAGATTTCAGAATTCAAGTTTTGATGTGAAAATCCTCTTCTTTTGTAGCTTGACACACTAAACATTTATGTTATAACCTGGATTCAATCTAGTGTAAATAAAATAAATTTTAAATGCATTCTTACCCCCACTTTTCTGAGAAAACAGTACTTATTTTCGAAAAAATGTCTTTTTTGCATTTAGGATTATCGTTGTCGTATCAACAGAGTATTGAACGCTCCAAGTGAAGATGATATGAAGAAACTTTATGATCGTCTGAACGAAGTGGATAAAGAAATGAATAGTATAAATAATGTAGATGACGAAGAAAGATCACTAAGAATTCAATTAGCTGAAACGGAATCCAGTTTAAAATCATTAGACGAAAACTTGCGTGACCACGAATCTCAGATAGCTAATTTAAAGGTATATATTTATTTTCCTTCAAAGTACTGTTATATGTTAATTGTTCCTTACAAGGTACATAATCAGTTCTTATCACTTGGAAAGTTGACCTAATAGGCATAGCACTTGACTTTCAGTTATTGGGTCTCAGCTTCTAAAACCCTCTCTGCCCATTTACTTTCCAACTGCCCGTTGTTACTAGCGGGGTCACCTAGCTTCACGGTCTAAGACGTTGCCTCCGAGATATTCAGACTGTTACTGATATTTACATGAATGGGGAACCTATTAATAACCAAAGTCGTGTTTATCTACTCCGTTTTTCGAATTATGTCTCCAAGATCAAGATTTTAATAACAGCGTTTGATCAAAATGTTCCAGTTAAGTCTTCGTACAGAGACTGTAATATTTGAATAAAATCCATTCTTATATACGTTTTGTATCTATATTAATCTGATACCTAAATGATTATTTTACAGTCTTATCAAGTCATTTCTCATTCTTCAAATACACATAAATTTAGATGGTATATTTAGTAGCATTTTCATTAATACTTGGGGACAAATGTCATACTAGAAGTTATGAAAATCCGTTTAAGTCAGAATACAGTTGTGACTTAGTGATGTCGATATTAGTCTATTACCTATTTAGTCTCTGGTTTCAATCTACGATGTCCAGTTCTACCTTAGATGTTTGGTTGTATTTTTGGTTATCGTACTATCGTTGTTAGCTAAAAATTAGTACACTTAAAATCGGCATAGTCATATGACTGACCGAGTGGTTCAGATACTTGATCCTCAAGTATGCTTATCCACTGTGCCAAATATTGTTCCCTATTTCTGAAATTTTTGAACAACAAGGTGTTAACTTTTTCCAATCCAACCCAGTTACCTTTATTACTTAGTATTCTTCAGACGATAATTCACTCGGCTACTCCCCAGAATCAGAACACTTCTTGGAAAAAACATACTATGTTCCCAAACAAGGAAGCGAGTTAACTAAGTAGAAGTCACAGAAAAATCCCGGTATATTTGTTGTTTATATATCGAATGGTTATACTCTTCGCCTATTTATTACCGCTGATCGTCACATTTTTAAGCCAATAAGCGCGATCCCTGCATGAAAAATGCCTTAATCAAATGAGTGACCTACTAACAAAAGGTTATATCTTTAGCTCTCATTTGAAGGATATGGTTCATAATTTGAAACATTGATAGACCCTTCCTTGATTTTTGGTTTGTATTAGTCATATTTCACTATATTGACATGTAGTTCTGTTATTAGGTGAAAAGTACATTTTCAACTCACTTCTGTATATTGACTATACTATAATTTCGTGTTAGATGTGTGGCAGTTAACAAAATTCTATGTATGTAATAGAAATTATGCTTTTTGACAGTCTTTAGACGAAGAGCGCACGAAAGTTTTAAAGGAACTTGAATTAAAAAACAAAGAAGCAGAACAACAATTGGTTACAGTACGTGCAAAAGTAAAGGAACAAGAAGATGCTGGGTATGTTTTCTCAATAAATAGATTATTTATGGTTTATCTACTGATTACAAGTGTTTACATTCAACTCCCAACTTCTGCCCGCTCACTGCCTACAAATCGAAATAAGTAGTACAGTATTACAACCTGTCACCCAGTTATTTTGACGTTAAATGTTGAAACCGCTAAGTCTCCATATCACACTACACAATATTTGCGTCTTGAATATTGGGAGATTTTTATTCTTTTTTAGACTAACCACTCGTTAATGTCGTTAAATATACTAATCATACTTGTATCCACTTTTACAAGTTTTCGAATAAAAATCGTTCCACTTTTTAAAGTGATTACTTTAGATCATATAAATGGTGACTACTTGTTTTACTACCAGTTAAAAGAGGTCTTACTGTTGTTCGCATTGATTTTTCTAATTAGTTATCTTGTAATCGTGTTCCTTCATATGTACCTCTTCATCCTATTGTTTTGAACTATATTTTTAATGCTTTTTCTTTCTTATTACCATTGCAAGTACAGTATTTTGATCATTTTTTGTTATTCATCTTGTGCTAATATCTTATGATAATTTATTCCAGGCTCTATATTGATCATGACTGACTAATAATAGGACAAATAAAATTTAAAAAGCTCGAAACAGGATTTTGATTATCCTTCAAAATTAATTAGCGATCTGTATCCACGAAGACATAAATGATTGAATCTTAAAATATCAAGTATCGTGGTGTTCTATTCAGTCCTATTCCAATGGTTCACAATTTCAACCTAGTTAAAAACAATGAAATGTTTACCAGTGACATTAATATTTTTTAGCTGTTTTATATTATGGATTAATTAAAGTATTGAAATGTTCTATTATTGTGCTGAAAGCTAACTTCATCAGATTTAATCAATTAATATGCATAACTCAAAGTTGAAACATGAGAGTAAATTTCTGATGACTAATTATCAGTTTCGTTAAATACATGTATTTAATCACTTTACAAATGTCAATATCTGCTTCAATATTTCTAAAGAACTTGCTAACCAAGTAAAAGTTTATGTAATTGACTTTGAGTCTCCATGTTTTTTGTGAGGTGGCTGGTGATAAGAACAGGGTACCCAAACTAAAGTTATCGTTGTAGTTTTTTAGAACTTCTCACCTACTAGTTGAAAACTGAGTGTTTTAACTGCTAACAATATGTATTGAACGGATTTTACCTTTCACTGATTTTCAACACAAGAATATTAAATAGTGAAAGAGAAAAGACAAAACTTGACCATTAAAATATAAGCATGAATGTTATTACATAAGTATCCAAAGTAACACAGATGAGAAACCAAGTGTTATTGTATTTTCCATTTGTCCATTTCTCTCCTAAAGTATTCTTTCCCTTCTAGTTATGGACGATTAGCTCAAGAATATATTATGCTTCGGGAACGTGTTGATGCTCGATTGCAAGCTAAAGATGATTTGATTAAACAAGTTGAACAGAAAGAATTGGATTATACACGTTCAGAAGGCACCATTGCCCCTACTCTGGACGCTTACAATCGTCTTGTCGGATCATTAAGGGTTTGTACTTATTTATTTATTGTTAGAAAGGAATATGTATGCATATTGTCTAGAATAAAAGTGCCTACCACTTCAATTTATTTCGTTTGAGAGCGGTACCTAAAGATTAAGTAGTTGAGACACTTCCATAGTGTAGCGAATTCATTGTAGTATAAATCTATTGGAAAAATATTTATTCGTGTAATTTTATATATGCAGTTGAGTTATCAGTTTACGTAATCTTTTTGTAGCTTGAATAAATCAACAATGACATCTCTGACCGTAGCGCTGTGTGATTATTATTATTCTATATTGTTTCGTGACTTACTAGTTTATGTGATGTCCACTAATTGTATTTTGGTTTAATTGTATGGTCGTTTTATATTCTTTCCTGGTACCTATTTCACTGTCAGTTTCTAGATTGATATTTGTATGTGAGGATGAAGATTTTACATTGTATATTTATTCTGGTCTTATATGTTTAGCTCCCAGTAGCCATTGCTTTTTGATGCATTTATTGTTAATTTATATCTAAATGATGATTCCACATCTTATTTGTGTACGCACAATCTAATAATATTCTTAGTATGTTGGTTTGTGAAAATTATTAAATTTCATAGTTCATAACACAGCCTGACTTTAGTTAGATAACTTTTAAAAACCAGAAGATACTAAACAGCCTTTTCGTCTTACTATGGAATTAATCACTAGTGGGGTGGTGAACTCATACTGTCAAAGAGTCCTTTATTAGGAAAAAACAGATGTCTGCTCTTTTTCTGTACAAATGTCCTCGTTTTCCACTAATACTGTTACTATTTATCATAATATTTTTAACTCTCTGTTTTGAAGTCATCTGTTAATTTGAACGAATATACCAGGTTCTACTTTAAGTATGATTATGACCATGATATCGTTAGTTTTTTGTTATTGGACTTTTTAGTTTCGAATGGTACGGCCGAGAGTGGGGAGAGTCACCTCTCCCTCTCGAAATGCTCTCATATGGCCAGCGAATATATAGCCTCTGCCAGAGAAGTCCTACTCACTGCCTTCTCGTGGCGGGGGTGTTGTTTACGAAATTGAGAGAACGAAAAGGGAATGTCCGGCGCCTTAACCGGATTGGTGGACATGGAAAGTTCACATAGGGAAGTTGGAAAATCCTGATTCCAAACTAGTGGTGCACATGGGCTCCAGTATCCTGAAGGAACAAATGGCGTACGAATCAACCGTTGATCACCGGCTACCATGGGACTGCATCTCCTCACGATGCTCCTCTGCCTTGTGGATCAGATCTTTCGGTCAAAGGCTCCGGGTGTGGTCCCCTAAGAAAGCCACCTGCTTCAGTTTGGGCACCTGGACAGTATCACAGCCCTCACACAAATCCAATGAGATTTGTGAGGCGCATATTTACCTGGTGCTTCCTTGTACCAATATTTATGTGTTTAAATAAATTAATAATAGATAAATAACATATTTATTGATTTTTGACAGAAACCACCGTTTTCACAGATCACCAAAAGCTGTAATTTGGAAGTTTGCACATATCGTAAAGGATTTGATATTGCTAAGCAATTACCATTGCTAGTTCAAAATGTCAAGGCCTGCGTTGAACAATTGACTTTGGCTTTGACTTCTAAAGAACAACGACTAAGTGAACTAGTCGAACGTCTCGAAACACTTCAATCATCAATCAATAGTTCAGTAAGTTTCGTAAATGTCCATATATGTATATATAGTGGGATTTTATGCTTGCGTTGCCCTTCATCACTTCAGTGAGTTCGACTTTTCTTGTTTCTATGATGACTACTCTATCCAACAAGTGCACAAACTAAGGTTATAAAAATGTTTTTCAAAATTTGGACTTCCCCTATTAATATTCGTTTTCGTATACTCTTCATTTTTGTTTTCATTGTTCAAAATATTATCGGAAGTCCTCGGAATCCTGGTTCTTCAATAGTCTCGTTTTGTTTACTTAAAATAATCATAAGCACCGATTATTTTTCGAAATTTGTCAACAAATTTCAGTCATAAAACACTGCATGTGTTCAACATTTTCATTAACGCAAATGGTTGACTGTCATTTTGGCATTTTCTTCTTCATTATCCTCACAGAGATTCTTGATTCAATTGAGAAAAGTTTTTTTCTTCAGCACAATAATAATAATAATAAACATATTTATTTATTAAAACTTATCTGAATTGGCAATTCTTAACAGATTTTTTTATATATTATTTTTCGCTTATCAGGAATTACCAGGTGTACAAGCTAAACTGGATGAAGTAAAAATAGATTTGGCTAAATTAGATGAACTTTTGGCTGAAGAATACAGTGCACATGCAAAAGCAGAAGAAGAATATATTAATTTATGTTCTCACAGAGCTAAAGAATTAGAACAGTTAAAAAAGCAGTTGACTGATGATGAACAACGTCAGACGGAGTTAAGCGTATGTTGTGTATTTTTTACCTGATGACAACTATGTTCTCTCTTATGAGTAAAACGGATTTCTGGAAATTGTTAATTTCCATAGCTTATGTAATGGATTTAATCTTATTTGGATAATCACTTAAAACTGGAAATCATTGAACAGCTCTTTCGTCTTAGTATGATACCTCTTAACGGTACTCATTCACGATCTCATGATAGTTTAGACTCAGAAGCTCGAGGTCTCGTGACTTGATCTTGACATATAGACTGCGGAGCCGGCATCGAATAGTTTACTTGTCTAACTCAAACTAATTCACGATATTATGTAACCTCATCTAATGTTACTGATGGATGACTGCTTCACACTTGACATGGTTAAACTTCACTGGTTATGGCTTTTCGCTAGAACTGTCAGTTCATTTTTACTAAATATGAGTTTATTGTATCTATAAAGTATGCTGACTGCAGTGTTCTAGTTTTTTCCTTGTAACCTTAAAATGTTCATCCTTACGTATTTAACTGAAATCCTGAAACACCGGGATTAATAACGCATAAAATAAACGACATACGGACACTTTTGTTTGAAAATATAACTTTTTAAGCAGAAATGATAAGTATTTATGCGTTGTACATAAATTATCGATTCAGTTTTAGTCATTAAAAGCTCCCTGCTTTTGTTTTTCTTAGTTAGCTGGTTTGGACTCTTGTATAAGAAGCTTGTATATCTGTATCAGATTCTATCGACAGCACAACATAACAAATTCACTTGTAATACCTTCTAATTTTAATTAACGAATTTCGAAATCAATATTAGATAAAACTTAAACTTGTGTTATGTTCCTTGAGGTACCTGAATAATTTAGTTGTGTGAAGTTTCATTGTCTTTCTAGAAAAAATTATTAACAGCACATATTTCACAAAGAATGCCAATTAATTGGGATTTCCTCCCAACTCACCAATAGCTTGTTTTGTTGACCTGGAATAAGATTAGTCGTTGTTTTTTTGTTCTGATGGTCGGAAATTCTGAAACCGTAGTTATATTACCCACTTGTCAATTTTTTCTGTTGATTGAATACATAGTGAGACGTTAAATCACCACTGCGTTATGAAATTTTGTGAGTAGCTACTTTTTATAATAAGTCTATCAGATATTTCTTTTCATTTCTCTGTATAGTGTCTGTACTAAAATGGGTCTGGATACAGCTTAATTTCGTGATCGTTCGGTTGTTATTGTTGTTTTAATCACGGATCCGAACAGCGATAACATAATTATGGACAAAAAAACCAATTAAGATTCATTTCAACAGAACTGGTTTTTAGTGAACTATGGTTAGATCCTAGTAATTCACTTCTTTCTGAAGTATGTGCTGATAATGATGTTCGCTAGAAAAGCACTGAGACCTTCACGACCCAACCATTAAACTCAAAGTTCTGAATATGCCGTCAACAACCTCATCCTTAGCTATAAATATTCTCCGTCATGTTAGTGAATAACGATGGATTTCTTAAACTTTTTAGTTATCACAACGACTTACACAAGAGTAAGGATAGAAACCAAAATTAAATACAAATTTTTTTGTGTGTGATTGATAATATGTAGTTAATAAAACCTATGGACTGCAAATTAGATAACCAAATTACTGAAAAAATTACGTAAGATTAAAGTTAGAAACTAATGTTAAACAAAATTTCTCTCTGAGTTTAGAAAATGTCCTACTCTACCCGAAGTGTAAAAGGTGCCTTAAAAAAGCATCAAAGTTGCAAATCATAACAACTGATTTCAATCTTCAAGTAATCCTACATAGTGTACTGAATTCAATTTATTTTAGATTTGAATGAAACTTGGTATACTCTTTTAATTTATCGACAACAATTGTACCATCTACGCCTGTTGGTTATAGTAGGAATGTTTCGTTTAACCCCTCATTCTAGAATATCTCTAGGAAATAAGTCCAATTCAAATATTTTCTTTCTAAATATTGAGCTAATACGGTTTTAATAAATCAACCCATAAGAAATCAACTTGTAATTGTCTTCATTACAGGTTTTTATAAAATCTACATATATGACGTTGTGAAAGATGGTTTAAATTTTCTTAAGGAGATTTTCATTGAAAGTAAGTATCTTAGTAAACTTCATCTCAAAACTATTAGTTTGAAGCCCGGCTAATATATTTCACTGTTGACATTGTTCATGTACTTTGTAGTTCAGTTCATATTTATTCACAAAAGTACTCAGAAAATCGACTGCCTTATTTCCGTAAATGGTGTTTTTGCCCAGCTAAGCTCTGAATAATTTATTCACTTTAAGCCTCTAATATGCTGTGCTTTTCTGTGCATCTACCAGTTCACTTACTGTTGTAGGTTACTTAAAGTTATTTGCTTTGCTTAATGTTCACCTATTTTGGTTACAGAAAGCATAAAATAGTTCCGTTAACAAACTTGTACGTACATTATCGATATTATTAATGATGATTATTTTGTAAAATGAAGCATTATTTGATTTTGTAGGGTAAACTTGAAGAAATAATTCAGGAAAGAATCAAAATCACTTCTTATATTGAAAATATTAGTCAACAATTATCGGTGTTTGTTCCTTACATTGAGGTAATTTTAAAGTTGTAGCCGTAGAAAACATTTTATGTGTAATGAAACTTTGTAGCTATGGTTTACAGGTTAAAACATTTGACTTTAACTTTTTTTGTTGGTTCAAATGCTTATTTAGCTACTTCAGTTTTACCATCCAAACAATATCTTCAGTATTACCATACAAATGCCGTTTGATACTCAGTACACTTGATTATTAAGTTTTGTTTATTAACATGTTAGTCTCATTTTGTGTGCAAACGTTTCTGTCGATATAAATATCATATCCACTTTATCTAAATCGAAACAAATCATGACATTATACATTTATTTTTAAATTTAGAACGTTGGTTTTTAAGATGAGTTACATTTCCGAGGCGTTATTAAGCACTCAGTTGCAAGCACTATTTCTTGTCCTATGACGCGAACCATAGTATCGTATAAATGTATATGAAATATACCACTATTTTAAATAACACTTTTTCAACTTTGATATAACTTGAAGGGAATCAAGATGGTATTTTGTTCGCTTAGGCGACGTGATCTATCAGCTAGTATATATAGTCAGTGTTTACTTTACTCTTAATTGAGCTATTATATTTAAACAATATCAAACTCAGGGTGTATACTATGATAGTGTACAGAATTAATGTTGAAATCTCTTTATTCTTAAGAATTTTAATCATAAAATCTAAGTTCCGATAAAAATTGTAGACTCAGATCTTGTTAATATCTGAAAATCCAAGCGCTCTTCATTACCAAACTGTTGTTCAGTGTCGTAGTTCCAGTCATTAGCGTCACAGTATTCGAATAACAGCTGGTGATCGCTATGATTATTGAGTTCATTTCAGAAGGTAGTCATTGACAATTGTCTAAGTATATGTTAGTTTTTCTATATTATCGTATGTAGGTTTTATTCGTTATAGTTTTTCTCACAAAGAGAAATAACGTATTAAAAATATTTTAAGACGATTCTCTGCTTTGTTTTCTTCAATTATATTCATTAGCTACTATGCGCGTTTCGTCTACTGCAATATTTTATTTTTGGATATACTAGGAATTTGGTCATATATCTTTTTTTCTCTTTTAGTCGTATTTCAAAACTAAGGAGTCTGCTAATCGTACCTGGCAGATGCATATAAACATATTGCGCGAAGAAGTTCAAAGTGCAGCTCGTCGTATTGAAAACAAAGTTAGAAAAGCACTTGAAGAAAATTCTTTGTCTGAATAGCATTGTTTTCCATAAACTAACTTTTTCTTGCAACTAACTTCAATTGATTTTTGTGAATACCCATTTTATCAAAATCTTTTTGTTTTGAGAGCTTTCCAGCAAACAAGTTCATAATGATGTTTTCATGCTACCGGAATCTGTCGTGTATATATATATATATTTAATTGTCAAAAATTATCAATTTAGGGAATAATTGGTTTGTTGTAATCATACTTAAAACTTATTTCGTCCTTTACATAAATGAGAAGAATCTTACACCTAGTTTTCGAAAGCTGTCAGCTCCGGTGTTCTAGTTAATGTCCTGTAGTTTATTACGGACAAACCTTAACTTCTTAGACATTAAAGTTGAACAGTTCTCGGTTCTCTTTAGTTAGTAAATTCACTTCTAATACAGTAGTACTTATGAAACTGTACGTTCTGTATTTGAAAGCTAACTGGTTTTGCAGTGTAACCCCTAGTACGAAACTGACAAATTTGTTACCATAAATAAACCACTGAAGCAACTCCGGCGTGCAAAATGCTTTTCACTCGTACTTCCCTTCTGGATTCAGCTACATGACTACAACCGGCTCATAAGTATCTCGCATCGTAGGATATTTATTTTGTGAAACCCTGTGAAATATGCTGTAGGCACAGTACGGCACGAATAGACTGGCTAACCATAGTGATATTAAAACAGATCCTGGTCACTACGACAAGTGCAGGTTGTTTGCTTTAGTCCCTCTCCGAAAGTGACTTGGTTCCATATGCAGAAGACAGTTCCGTAAATATTCGGTAGGTGCTTTTCAATCATTACCGGCGGAGAAAGTCACTAAACAGGTTAGGCATCAGAAATGTCACGATTTTTAAGAGTGATGGTCAAAAGTAATCATGTCTGGTAATATCCAGGACTGTCCAATTCGTACTCTATTAGTTATATACAAGCCAGATTCCAAATCACGTATTACTCGATGGGCACGGTTAGAGGTAATATATTTGATATTCTAATTAGCTGCTGAATAATTTATAAGGGAATCATTGTTGTATACAGGCATTGCATGGAGTCTGAGCTCGAGTTCAACCGGAGGCCATGATGCTGACAGAACTGCTGCTCCTGAGACTCAGTGTCAGGATATCTTATGACAAGCAGTATCTGTCCATACTAAAACTACGGACAACAGCTGTTTAAGTACCTAGTATGGTATACCACAGTCCACTCATTTTTCTACTTCGAGATGGTTTACGGATTGTGAGTAGTGGTCAAAGGTCAACAGCACGTACTGAGACTTAAGTGTGTTGATATCTGGAATGCCAACAGAGGCCTGCTAGGACTTACTCCGCTAAGGTTTGACAAAAGAATTACAACGGAAATTGAGAACGTACAAAATTAAAGTTTTCTGTAATAGAATTTACACTCCAAGAAACGCTTTAGTCAGAATAAAAGATACGATCCTGTTTATTTCCACACAAAGTTGTGCTGATTGTGATGCGTTCTATGTTGGAGAGTTTTCACGTGAATTCTCGATTTATGCTAAGGGACATTTAAGTTACACGGAAGACTTCCAACAATCCTGTAGAATTCGGAAGTTTACAGATTAAATCACCGATAGTAGTGTAGCGGTAAATGCATCCACAGAATCGATATTCGATGCTAAGCGCATAGTTATACTGGACTCCCTACTAAAGGCTCTCGGTCACGCATCTGCACCAGATTACGAACGGGTACGCTGTGCTATGCATTCCTTTCAATTACTAGCCAGTTTAGATAAATCGCCCTTTTGACATGCCGATAGCCTTCCAAATATATCTTGGTACTCCTTCATCCATGACTTCTGATTCAACTTTGCTGATACACTTCAATTACAAAGTCCTTACTGGTTAGGTTGTTGTCAAACTTCGAATGATTGTGGGATCTTTAGGAGTACATCTAATTTTCATAATCACCAAAGTGATATGAAATATATAAAAATAATTAAGAAAGGCTCTTCCACTGGTAAAGAAGGAAGAGTAGCTAGAGCGTTACACATTACAGTAAATACCTCTGCCCTCAGTAGGAAAGAAGATTTGAGTATTTATATCACTTGGACTATCCAAACAACCACATATGAACTTACTTATTTCCCACACACACACTTAATTTCATCCAAACTGCTTGATCTTACAAATTCATATATCTTCCATACCCACATTCCGATACACAAATAAATACAATGACTGATGAAATATAATACATGTTGTCCCGTGATATGTTCATAACCGTTGTTATATATTCCGACTTTGGAATTTAGATCTCTCATCAGGATGGTGAGTTCATTTATTGGGCATTTATTGTAGCTGTAAATAATTCCTCAAAATCAATAGCTTTCTAAGTGTTCGACATTGGATGCTGATCACTTTGTTTAAGTGGGCTTGTTCAACTGAAGGCTTTCCGTCATGCATCTGTACCACATCACGTTTTGACCCAGCGTGAGACACTGCTCCGACGTTCACTAGCCAGATTCGATCAAACGCTTCTCGATATATTGATAACGTATCAAATATATCTTTCCTATCTCTTCGCATCTGACTTCGGATTTCATTTGGTTGGGGAAAGCTTCGTATATAGAAGGTGCCACTGGTAGCAGGTTGTAAAATCAGAATGTCAGTCGTATCTTCAGTGGTGAGACCGACGTGATCTGGTACACGAAGCCAATAAACTGTGAGTCTATTCCTTTTTGGAATATCATTATTCATTGTTATTGTTTAATTGATTTTCATATACTGTGATATACTTTTTTTTCTCGAGTTTTTCCGTATATATTTTATATTACTATGACGGAACGGTCGCCTAAGGTTTTTGATTTAAAATATATTCCCTCACTCTCGATTCAGTTAACACCATTTTGGTCTGACAATATCAAGTCCTGGTTCTGCTACGCAGAAGCTGACATTTGTGGGCACAGAATCACGGACTCGCGCACACGATACCTCGCGGTAGTTAAGGCGTTACCGCGCGAATTTAACGGGTACGTAACACCTAGTATGCTTACTAGTGATGTTCCGGAACCTTACGAAACTCTCAAACTATCGATTCTAAAACACGGAGATCTAACTGATCGACAACGGTTAGACCAACTCTTTAACAATATCAACCTGTAACATGGTTCCGCGACGGACATGTTGTTAAGGATTAGAGAAGTCATAGATTAACGAACTTTGACGATGGCCTATTTAGACAACTTTTCTTGTCTAAACTACCGAAACAGGTGCAGGCAGTGGTTGTCTCGTTCCAAAACAACGCCGCAGACGAACCAGCCGCGTCTGTCGATCGAATCTTAGAAATAACGAAGTCTACTAAAGCTGTGGTCTTTTCAGTCAAAGAAAAGCCTCAAGCGACATTGAATGACATATCTGAATTATGCCATACCCTCACACGCTACCTTCAATTTTGAAATGAATGTAGTCGGTCAAGAACCACACGAAGAAGCGTTTCACGTAGGCGATCTGTTTCTCGACCACGAGAAACAGACAACCCCTACTGGTGCTGGTATCATAACCAGTATAGCAAGTCTCCCGAAAAATGCAGGTAACCCTGCAGTTATCCGAACTCCAAATCCACTGACACGAAAAAGAACTCGTGAAACTTCCCAGCCGGCACTCGTTGACGGCAACCGTAGCCGGCGAACATAGCCGTCTGTTATACGTCACAGATCTGATCACGAAAGTTTACCACCTCGTCGACACCGGCGCAGAAGTTAGCGTGTTTCCCGCGAACTCTAATGACAGACTTCACGAGTCTGCTTTAAGTTTACAGGCGGAGAACGGAAAACCGATCGTTACATACGGTAAAACGTACGTTTACCTGAATGTGGGTTTACGCAAACCCATCGACTGGATCTTCGTTTTTGCAGATGTCTCTATGCTAATCATTGGTATAGACCTCCTACAACACCACAATCTACTCATTGACACACGCTCACGAAGGTTAATAGACGGAAACACTAGGTTATCTATTTGCGTAACTCCCTTTTCTGGTTGCAGATTATGCCCCAGTCACAATTAAGCACGACATAGATCCCTTATATCAATCATTGCTCGACAAATACTCCGGGATATATCAACGGCAAAAGAAATTGCCTTGTGTAACCAGAAATGTTACACATCACATCTCGATTACAGGACCACCTCTATTTTCGAAAGCACGCCGACTGGCTCCCGAAAAGCTGAGGTTGGCTAAAATCGTCAAATAGCCCATGGTCATCCCCTTGCATATGGTCCCTAAAAAGGACAGCAACGATTGGCGTCCAACAGGTGATTATCAGCGTTTGAATGCTAAAACCATTGTTGATCGTTACCCGTTGCCTCATATTCACGATTTGACAGCTACCGTGAAAGGTACAACTGTCTTTTCGAAAATCAACTTAGTTATGGCTTACAACCAAATACCGATGGCAACCGACGACATTGCTAAAACCGCCATCATAACTCCTTTCGGCCTATACGAATTCTTACGAATGCCTTTCGGACTAAGAACTACCGCTCATACCTTCCAAATGTTCATAGACGACGTCTTCCTAGGTCTCAACTTCGTACATGCATATGTTGATTAATGTCTCAATGCAAGTCTGGACAGAGAATCACATCCCAAGCATCTGGACATTGTTTTCGATCGACTCCAAAGACATGGCATTACTGTGAACATTCACAAATGTTAAATCGGAACAAACTCCTTAGACTTCCTAGGACACACCATTGGTGCTCAAGGCATCCGACCTCTTAGAAGCAAAGTGGCGGCCATTCTGGATTACCCAGAACCGACCACGATTAAGCAATTGCGAACTTTTAACGGCCTTGTAAGTTTCTATAGACGGTTCATACCCAAATGCGCATCTCTCATGAAACCGTTAACCGACCAACTTCATGGAAAGGCAAAATCAATTAGTTTAGACGAAGAGCATTCTTCACAGTTAAGGAACATATCGCTAAGGCAACCCTGCTCTCGCGTCCGGACACTCAAGTGCCCATTAGTATCGCCGTAGACGCATCCGACTCAGCAATCGGAGGAGTCTTACAACAATGGGTTAACAACTCGTGGCAACCTTTAGGATTTTTCTCGAGACGTTTGCTAGACGCAGAATCTAGGTACAGCACGTTCGGTAGGGAACTCCTAGCTGTGTATTGTGCTGTACGACATTTCCAACATTCCGTCGAAGGAAGATAATTCCAGCTTTTTACCGATCACAAACCTCTTACCTTCTCTTTAAATTCATCTTCAGACAAGCACTCACCATGAGAGTCTCGACAACTCGACTACATTTCGCAGTTTACTTCAGATATACAACGCATTTCTGGAGCAAACAATGTAGTTGCAGACGCCTTGTCTCGAATAAATTCCTTGAACAATTCCCAAGGAATCGACTTTCTTAAACTC